CATCTAAAGATAAATGAAGAATTTATAGTATCATCCTTAAATTGAGTATTATCCTGTGATAATCTCTGCTCATTTTAAATATTTGATTATCTGAAAAACAAATAAACAGAAATAAATAAATTGAAAGTCAGTGTGAACTTTTGAAGATATTTAGGACCAAGACCATGGCTCAGACTTTCCAGAGTTGTATAAGAGACCAATACTAGGTGCATCTGGATTGCAGAAGAGAAAAATAGGTGGACTATAAATTAATTTTACAATAATATATTTTTTCTTTTCTAGTAAGTCCATTAATTATTGACTGAATCTATTTTCATTAACTGTGTGCATTACTCATTTAATTCTTCTACTCTTGCCTATGTAATTCTCAAAGTTTGATCTAAACCATAAATAAAAACAATTTTCTTTTTCTATCTGATGCAGAATGCAAATACTGGCAAATTTCCTATAAGAAATTAACAGATAGTAGGTAAAGATCACCAATTTATCTAAAGAGGAAGAAGATAGTTAAAGAAGTCATGTGAAACCTAACACATAGCCAAATATTCAGCTTTCTATGATAAATGTTTGCAACAGTAGATGCTTGTGTAGTCCATTGGTATTAACTTAAAAACAGCAGAACAGTTTTGGCCAAAATGCAAAGTAAGATTGTTTAATCTTTGGTCCTTCACAGAAATCCTGTAGAACTGTTTCACAAGAGTTTTTAAAGACAGAATTTTGACAGTATAGTAGTTGTTATAATTAGATGTCCTCAAGTCAAATACGACTCATAGCAATCCTGTGAACAACAGATCTGAACCTTCTTCTATCCTATGCCATCCTCATCATTTCTGACTTGTACCTATTTCTGTAGCCACTGTGTCAATCAGCTGGTGGGTGAGACTCACCAAGCTTTTCATTGACAGCTAAGCACTTAAACCACCGCATCAACAGGGCTAAGAATCTGACAGCAATTGAATTTGATTTTTATCTTTGATTAAGTATTTTTGGTAGTACAAAAAGTCATACACATGGCTGCTAACCAAAAGATAGCCAATTAAAACAGTAAGTGGTTCCATGAGGAAAATACCAGTTTCCATATAGGCCAAACCAAACAAAACCAGGTACCATTGTGTCAATCAGAATTATCCTACAGGACAGAGAAGAATTCCATTAATTTTTGCAGGCTATAATCTGTACAGAAGCTGATGGTCACATCTTTATCCTGAGGCACTGCTGAAGGGTTCAAGCGTTGATATTTTGGTTGACAGCCAACAAACAGTTTAACCACTACACTTTTAGGACTCCATTCATCACACAAAATATTATAGACAAGAACATGTTATGGAGTAGTTTTACACATGAAGTCTCACTGACTTTAAAAGGACTTGAGGATAGCCAACAACAAAAACAATATTTGTTTTTAATTTTAATGTTTGTGATAGGTATAATGTTTAAGGTTTGTACTGGGGTATAAACATAGTAAATACAAATGACAAGCTATTCCTGCAAAAATGAAACAAGAAGTTAATGATTTTTTTTGCATTAAACTAAGTAGTATCATCAGAGACAACATCACAATTCCTAAACAAACACACACACATAATTTAAATTAGAGCTAAGTGGTATAAGATGAAGGGGTTTTATAATAGTATTAAAATCAAGCCCAAGCAAGACAATATCATTTGATCTAAGTATAAAGAAAAATATTTATCAAACCTTAAATTTATGCCTTGAACACTTTTAGTTCTATGTCTATGAGAATGAATAAAATTGAAATTCCAATTTCAATCATTTCCTATACCCATTATGCCTGTTAAGGTATAATAGAAACCTATATAATTAGGTTTAAAAAAATTAGTAATACTTCTGTAAATACTCTAACCAGAATATTGAGTTTCCTTTCAACTCAGTAAGGGAAAAGTCTGAGTCAAAATCAAGAATCAGAATGGGTATGGGAAAGACAAAACACAAATGATTAAATGATAGAAAAAAACTTTCAGAGAGACCATATGAAATTGTTACAATGGTATCTGCCACAATGTGGTGTAGTAGAGAGCCACTTTCCACAATTCCATCACCATCCCGCAAGTAAAGGAAATAATCTAAAGTTCAAGTCAGAGAAACAGTAAAATTAGATGAAATTACCTTCCATAGTAGAATTTCATGATAAGGCAAAAGAAACAGAATTCTATTGTAGTAATAGAATTATAATATACTGATAATAATAAAAGTTACTTTCAAATCTACTCTCACTCAAAGCAATTGCATGTGTGTCAGAGTAGAACCCGTGTCCTTGGGCTTTGAATGCTGATTTTTCAGAAGAATATTGCTAAATAGTTCTCTCAAATCATGTTGATTAGACATAAACTTTCAACTTTTTTTAAAATTTTATTATTTTTTGTGTGTGTACCATCAAATCCGATCTGACTGGTACAGGAGGAGATTGCCCCTCCTTCTCCTACAGAGCATCTGATGGATTCAAACTGCGTACTTCTGGGTGCAGTGCAGCTTCTTGCCACTATTCCACCAGAGATCCCTAAACTTTCAACTTTTATATAGCAGTCAACAATATTAACCATTTGCAACACCTAGTGGTTTATCCATATTGTTGGCATAGAATTAAAAATGCTATTTTTTAATTTTCATATTATAAACAGGAATTAGAAAAGGAATAAATATAGTGCAAAGGATGAAATTTCCATTTTTAACTTATTTAAGTTGAGAAATATATGAAATTTCCAGATGTATGTGTCTTCATGGTCAGTTTGGGTCTGAATTTTTAATTATTAAATTTTAATGCTACATGGAAGTCCTGGAATTTAATGGAACATACATCAAACACATATATATAGGCAGGGAAGAAGAAATAGAAAAAATATATTTTATTTGGCTATTGTTGAGGTCATGGTTTTTTGCTGTGCATCAGAGATTTAGACAATGACTAAGGATGATAGAACGAGAGTTAATGCCTTTGAGCTGTGCTGCTGGGGAAGACTATTGAATGTACCATGAACTTCTCAGAGAACAAACAAGTTTGTCCTGGAGAAGGTAAAGCCAGGCTGCTCCTTTGAGGCAAGGATTCTGAAGCTCTGTCTGACAAACATTAGACCTGTTGAAAGGCGGGATCAGTCCTGGGAGAGGGATGGCATGCTTTGGAGGGTGAAGAGACAGTGCAGGAGAGGAAGACCCTCGATGAAATGGTTTGATTCATTCACTGGAGTAATGGGGGTAGGTCAGAGACAATAAGATTGGCAAGGAATAGAGTAGGGTTTAGGGCTATTGCTCATAGGGTTGCTACATGACTCCACAGCACATAGCAACAACAATCTTGAGGCGAATAGGAATCCCAGAACAGTTAATTATGCTCATATGAAAACTATGTCTAAATCAAGAAACTTTTCTGCATGGTTTAAAATTGTGAATGGAATACTTCAGGGTTGTATCCTTTTTCCACACCTATCTAATCTGTATGCTGAGCAAATCATTATGAATGATTTGATATAGACTTTATGAACTAGTGTGGCCACAGGGGGGAGATTGATCAACAACCTGCCTTTTGCAGATGACAGTTTTCTTGCTGAAAGCAACAGGACCTCAGGTGCTGGATTACATCTCAACATCAAGAAAACAAAAGTCCTCATTACTGGGCCGATAGACAACATCATGATAGATGGAGAGAAGATTGAAATTACTAACTATTTCATCTTGCTTAGATTACACTCTTGGTGTCTCAATATAGCAATATAGGAAAGACTGGTGTCAGGGAAATTTCCAAAGTTCTGAAAAGCAATGATGTCAGTTTAAAGGCTAAGGTGTGTCTGGTTCAAACTATAGTCTTTCTAATCACCTGTTATACAGCTGAGATCTGGATAGTGAATAATAAGAATTATTGATGTATTTGAGTTGTGTTAGTGGGGAAGAGTGTTGAATATCATGGACTGCAAAAACAACAAATGGATGTGCCTTGAAGAAAGTGCAACTAAATTGTCCCTTGGAGACAAAGACGGTGAAACTTTGTCTCACATATTTTGAACATGTCATTAGAAGAGGAAAGGGACATCATCCTTGGAAGATAGAGGGTCAGCAAAGAAGAGGACCCCTGAGATGGATTGATACAGTGTCTGCAACAGTGATCTCAGGGAAAATCTACATTTGAGAGTCACAGAATAGTTTTAAAGGAAGCTTTTTATGAGAGAAATGCCCTTTGTATTTCTATATAGGTTTAGTCAAAACAATAAAATAGAACCATAAATTGATATTAAATAGATTTAGAAGTATCTTATCATTCATAAACATCCAGAAATGTTAATAATTTCTCAAGAAAAAATTGATTAGAGAGAAATGACAGAAAAATTTCAGTACATTATTAGTGAAATATTCTTCAAAAAAATATTATCTTAATACTTATTATCTTTATTCCTGTTATAAGATGAATATACTGTAGACAATTCATTCCAAACTGGTAGTAAGAAGACAAGACTAAATTTTAGAAAACATTCATTTTCTAAAGGAAAGGAGGATATAGTCCTATTATACATTGGACTCATAGCTAAAAACTTCCTTTAAAAAATTCAATAGTCATGACAAATTAGTATGTTATAAAGGTATTCAATGATATTTGTGTTTAATTTTTAAAATTATAGATAAATGTGTGTTTCTTGTGATGTAAATGTTTTTTTGTGATGTAAATTTTAAGGGTAAGTAGTTTTGTGGATTTTGAGGGGTTCAGATATGTATATATTTACATTAGGTTATTGATAATAAGGCAAGATATATATATTTTTATATATGCTATGATCAAGATAATTTGAAAGTTGAATTTTAAACCAACTGGATACCATAACAAAATATTTTAGAACATTAATATTTTTTTAAATACTGTCAACTGAATCAAGTTCATGTAACATATAATGGATGGCTTTTCTAACCAAGAAAACAAATACTAAAGTATTTTTAACTCATCTCAAAAACTGTGCCTCATTTTTATACACAGATTGGACAGAAGTCAGAAACCAGAGATGAAAAACCATACAGCACTAACAACATTCATCCTCTTGGGACTGACAGAAGACCCAGAACTGCAGATTCTGATTTTTATATTTCTACTTATCACCTATATGTTGAGTGTAATTGGAAACCTAACCATCATCTGTCTCACAATAGTGGATTCCCACCTTAAAACTGCCATGTACTTTTTCCTCCAAAATTTCTCCTTCTTAGAAATCTCCTTCACCTCTGCCTGCATTCCTAGATTCTTATATAGTATAGCAACAGGGGATAGGACCATAACCTATAATGCCTGCATGAGCCAATTGTTTTTTACAGACTTGTTTGCAATAACGGAATTTTTTCTACTGGCCACTATGTCCTATGATAGATATGTAGCCATCTGCAAACCCCTGCATTACATGACCATCATGAATCAGAGAGTCTGTAAAAGATTTATCTTGGGCTGCTGGGTGACTACATTGTTGATCCTATTACCACCACTTAGCCTAGGACTGGAGCTGGAATTTTGTAATTCTATCATTGACCACTTTCTCTGTGATGCTAACCCTCTCCTGAAGATCTCTTGCACGGATACATGGTTTATAGAACAAATGGTCATTGCATGCTCTGTAGTGATATTTATTATGACTCTTGTGTGTGTAGTTTTGTCATACATAAATATCATGCGGACAATTCTAGGGTTGCCTTCTTCACAACAAAGGAAAAAGGCCTTTTCTACCTGTTCCTCCCACATTATTGTGGTTTCTGTCACTTACGGCAGCTGCATCTTTGTCTATATTAAACCTTCAGCAAAAAATGAAATGGCCATTAATAAAGGAGTAACAATACTGATTACTTCCATATCCCCCATGTTAAACCCATTTATTTATACCCTGAGGAACAAACAAGTCAAGCAAGCCTTTAGCGATTTACTAAAAAGAGTCATATTACTCTCAAAGTACTAGAGAAATAATGATGTTAGGGCAGTAATAAGATTACAGATTCAAATAAAATGAAATTCCGCACAACTTAAATCATTCCTCCATTTATCACAAAGATAATAATTGTTTAAATTGTGGTGAATTTTGTTTTGCTTATTATGTTGAGGTGTAATCTTTAGTCCAAGTAATAATGTTTAATCTTCATCAGAATGTGATTCAAGTCTTCATTTTCTGCAAGTAAGATTTTGTCATCTGCATATGAAAGGTTGTTAATGAGTCTTCCCCCAATCCTAATGTTGCATTCTGCTTCATGTATTCTATATCCTTGGATTATTTGCCCAGCATATAATTCAGATTTAATTCAGTTCAGATTGAATACAATTCAAATTGAATATTGTTGCTGTTGTTTGGTACCTTGGAGTCAAGTACGACTCATAGTGACCCTATGAACAAAAGATCTCAATCCTACTCTATCCTGTCACACAAAAGCTTATTGCAGCAGTCACCGTGTCAATTCACCTGGTTGAGGGTCTTCCTCTCCTTCAACAACACTCCACCCTTCCTAGCATCATGTCCTTCTGCAAGGAATACTTCACCCTTAACATGCCCAAAGTTTATGAAGGGAAACCTCATCATTCTTGCATCCAAAAAAGCTCTCCTGCTTCATCCTCTCTACGACATATCTCTTTGTTCTTTGGGCTTCTCAAACAATTTGCTCAGCATACAAATTAAATCGATGTGGAGAAAAAATATAACCCTAACACACATCCTTCTCAATTTAAAATTATGCAGCATTCCTCTGCTCAGTTTACACAACAAGGTATAGGTTTTTAATTAATTCTATCAGACAAAAAAATAGAACCAATCCAAAAACTTGGCTTTGAATTTTTTGTGCAAACACTCACTAGAAATAGTTAATATCTTCAATGTTTGATTTGTGCATACTCATAACTACAAAAATAATTTGCAGAGTTATCTTCAGATGTATCAGTATTGTTAATTTTCATTTAGATGCAAAACAAAACATCTAACTAGATTTACTTCTTTTTCTTTTTTTACTCTTTGCCATTAAGTCAAAAGAGAGCACATTTGTTTTCTCTTTTGTTCATTTATTAATGACAAATGGTACTTTTATATGTTTTATATTCACAAAATAAGTCTCATACTACTATTGTTTGGACACAAGAGTGACATCCACTTCCTAAACAGCATGCCTCTGGAAACTCTATGAACTTTGAAAAATGACAATAGTTATAGAAAAGCTTCAGGTCTTTTGTGCATAGGGTCAATATGAATCATGCTCAGTTTGACATCAAACAACAAAACAATAAGTTTTACCTTTGCATTGTTAGAAATAACAAATATCTTTTTGAAAGGTTATGCACATGGTTAACTAATTACTATGTAATGTACATTTGGCTAGGTGATATGAATAAAATGCCTTACACTTTGTCAGACAAAATTACAATCATCATGGCATTTACCATTTAGAGTAGCAGAAGGACATGCAAACATGAAATCCTAGCTTTGTTAAGAGAACAGAAGATCAGTATGTAGCAGAAACGTGGAAGACTGGGGACAATACATGTTTAGTGGCATTGTATGGAGCAGAGTAGTTGTTGGGTGCCGTTAAGTCGAGTACAGCTAATAGCAACCCTAGGAACAACAGATCTGAACCATGTCCATTCCTGTAAAGGAGTAGGGTGTGGTTAAAGAAAGATTCCTGGTGACAGTGTTATTCCAACTTGGCAGATCAGTGGAAGTTGGACAGAAGAAAAGAAAAGATTATTTTTGCCCTCGTGAGCACTAGCTCTAGGGCTGTGCTATCAACACAAAGAGAATGTGTTGTGCACTGTGCTGTAAGCAGTATATATGCCAGTCTTTCTCCTGTAGAGCAGCTGATGGATGGGAGCAGGATGTCTTATTGTTTAAAGTTTAATATGTTTAATATGTTACACTACAAAAATGCAACACACTCAAATAACTAATAATTCAGCAAAGAATTTAATGCAGGTATTCTGTTGAATAATATTATTTTATTCATGTTTTGGACCTCTGTCTTATTGACTAGGCAAAGATTATGAACAGCTTTGTGGATTTAAACAAATTATTAATAATAAAGCAAAGAATAGGAATTTCGGAACACTTAATTGAACTTATAGACCAAGGAGAACATGGATCAACAAGTTCTTTGAACAGAACAAAGGCATTATACTTGCTTTAAAACCAGAAAATGTGTGGCTGTCAGGAGCTTATCTTTTAATCACACTTACTTAATTGCTGCATTTAGGTAATAAACTGCAATAGTTATAACAACTTTTTTTTTTAGGTTGGTTGGGTTTTTTGGGGTTTTTTTTGTTTTTTTAATTGGGAAAAACATATTGGGGGTACAAGGAGGTGAGGGTTGGGGGCAGAAGGGTGAGGATGGGATAGGATGCAGCTGCAGAGCTGCGCAGTTTGGTCGGCAGGGGAGGCAGGTGAAGGAAATGATGAGGGTCCAGTGGGGACCAGATGCTACAGAGGAGTGACAAGCATTTTCCAATGGTAATTAAACCAACTGTCTTATTGATTTGGGAATTGGATGCTGACTCTCTGGCTTCTTCATGCTGAACAGGGGCGTAGATGTAAAGGGGGGAAGGGAGGATGCTTTATCACCTTACTGGTGGTCTTGGGTTAAAGCTGCTTGCCTTCTTGCTCTGTTAGATGATATTTTCCTGTCATTTGCTCCCCTCTGGACTGCAAAGTGTTTTCCCAGGTGGGTCCAGTGGGGATGGCTGGTTGAACCCAGAGGCTTCATCCTCCTTTGCTTCCTTAGCTGTCAGTTGTATTTCCTTTTTGTCACTGGCACTGGGTTCAGGGTCAATTCTGGAGTAAAACTCAGTGTTAAGGTTACCTATAGGAAAGGGAGCAAACCTAGAGAGAACAAACTTGTGAGTTACAAATAGAAGGGCTTTGAGGGTGTTGCTTTCAGGTTTACTGGGAGGGAGGGTGGAAGAAGGTGGCCTAGGTAACATTCTCTGGATACACTAGACATTCTTTTTTTTCCCCCCTTCCCCACCCAGGGGTCAGATGGCACAATCTGGGGACTGAGGAGCTCACCCTGAGGGCCGCGACGGCTCGCCCCAAGCCGGGGGCCGAGGGCAGCCTGCCCCGGGCAGGGCAACACCCCCCAGGAGCTGGCCGGTATACTCCACCTCCAATTGCCCCTACCCCAGTCTGGCAACACCCCCCAGGAGCTGGCTGGTATACTCTACCTCCAATTGCCCCTACCCCAGTCTGGTCCCCTTGCCTGACTGAGGATTCTGTGTTCAGGGATAGTGTTTCCAATTTCAGCACTGCCACTTTTACCCCCCAATAAGTGGTCATACTATATTTTGAAGTGGGTGTCACTGCCCTCCCCCTTTATATATGATAAAAGGGACCTGAGAAGTGTGAACAGACTCCCCCCAGGTCTAACCATCTTTTGGCAGAAGCATTCAACAGAACAAAATATATGGTGCATTTAGGATGTCGGTCCTCTTGTGCGTGCTGCCACTGTTAAGGTCATCAGACTCACAGTGTCTTTCAGCAATCCATTCTATAGGTAATCGTCTTCTTTGGCCTGTCCAAGGAAATCCAAACCTGCAGATGGTGGGCATGCATCCCATCCCCCACCTCCTACGCAGGTGGCCAGAGAGGCACGCGCCCCCGCCCCCAGCGCAGGAGGTGCTGCCCCGCACCCCCCCACCCCCCGCGTGAGAGGCTGCTGAGGGAGCGCCACCCCATCCCGCCACACAGGCACTCGGCATGCGCTCAGCCCCTCTTGTGCGGGCGGCCAGCGGTCGCCATCCTGGCTCTAAGAATTCTCTCCAGAACAAGTCCACCTTGCAGCTGTGTGGTGGCTTTGCTGTACCAGTCTTGAGGAGGGCCGGTGCCCAGCATTCATCCTGGGTGAGGGAATCCATTCGTTCTGGCTGTGGAAGCCTCATGGAGCTGCCGCAGCTGTGCGGAGTGGCGCCGGTCTGTGGAGGGTGGGGGGAGCCACGAGACTCACCTATTCCTCCTTGGGAATCCTTGAATTCCTGTTGTTGAGCCTCGATCTTCACTGAGGGCCAGTCATCAACTGTTTAAGTGTTCAATTATCAATAAGGTGAAGTCTGTGGAAGGCCATAATGGCCCTGCTTTAAGTGGCTGTTTCTGCCTCTGCCGCCATCTTGGATCAGGTTCTATAACAACTTTTTAAAAAACTATTTTGTGATATGAGTGAAAGTTTACAAAACTGACTGATTTTCCAGTCAATAATTCATACACATTTTATTTCATGACATTGTCTTGTTAAATGTCCTTGAGTGGCTTGTGACTCATAGCAACCCTATGAACAGCAGCTCTGAACCCTGCTGTATCCTGAGCTAAATTCATCATCTCCAACACACTCACCCCCATTACCCGAGTCACTGAGTCAATTTATCTCACCCAGGGTTTTCCTCTCTTGGGCACTGTCCCTCCATCCTCCCAAGCATGGTGTCCCTTTACAATGACGGCTCCCTCCTTGTATTATGCCCAAAGCATGTCAGAAGGAGCTTCAGAATCCTCGCCTCCTTAAAGCATCCTGGTTTCACCCTCTCCAGGATAAATTTGTTTGTTCTCCTAACAGTCCATGGTATATTCAATACTCTTCTCCTGCACCACAACTCAAAGGCACAATTTTGCTTCTATCATCCCTAGTCACTGTTCAGATTTCTGATGCATAGCAAGTAATTGTGGAGACCATGGCCTAAATCAGGTGCACCTTTGTCTCCAGACTGACGAGACCTGTCAAATATGGTACAACTCAGAGTAAGCCTATGAACAACAGATCTGAACTCTGTCCTATCCTGTGCCAACCTCACAATCAAGTATGATTTATATTTACTATCCCAAATTTGTTAAAGCACTCTTCGCACCTGTTCCTTGTGCTTCCCATTTTCATTTGTCTTCTTTCCTAACCCTTCCTATCATCTGAGTTCTATCCTGGGAAAATGCTGCCCTTTTTTATCTTCTTAGAG